TGGAGGATGGTCCAAATGCCTCTCAGCTGGCACAGCTGTGATGCATTCAGAGAGAGCAAAAAGCAAGAAGCAGGCCGGCCAGTTAAGGTGGTCGCCCGGCCACTCCCCCTGGTCAGCCGACCAGGGGTCAAAAGGTTCAAGGAGAAATGCTGGCCGGCCACCCCAGAAAGGTGGCCTCCCAGGTAAGTGCAACACAGCTGTATGGTGGAAGACAAAAAAATGTGACCCAGGAAAGAGAAAACTAGCTTTTTAGCAAGGTTCAAAAGGGTCAAGAAGAATTACTGGTCGGCCTACCCATATTGGTGGCCTCCCAGATGAGCACAACACAATGGTGGTATGAAAAACTAGAAATTGTGGCTCAAAAGTAAGAAAAACCAGCTTTCTGTCAGAAAAATCGGCTGGAGGAGAGAGAAAAAGAGAAAGCTGGTTTCCAAGGGGAAAAGGTGGCCTCCCACCATACTACCACCTCCCTAGCAATGAAAATAGGGTCCCTACCAAAAATGGACCAAGAAGGATGCAAAACGAAGGTTCGGGGGCCAAAATGTGCAGTCTGGGGCCCCGAAAACAGGCTGTTAGGCACTGAAAGTGGCGTATGACCACGAAGGTGGTCTCCTGGGCCACAGTGTCCCTCTAAAGGGAGGAAACAAGGTGTGTGCCAAAAGCCGGAGCAAACGGCGGTAGTTAAGCGGTCCCGAACCGAGGCACACGACCGACGGCTTTGAAAACCGGAAACTGGACTCCAAGCAGGAAAAATGGCCTACGACCACGAAACGTAGCCTACGGCCACTGAGAGATGGTCTACGAGACCTCTCCCTTCCTTCAGGAAGAGAAAACAGAGAAAGTAGGACCTGGTTTGTAAACCGAGGCAAAGCACAAAAGAGCCCCAAAGTCCAGAGGCAAGGCTCGCAGCCGAGACTCCGCAACCTCAGAACGAGCACAATAGGCAACATCATCGAGTGCTCAGTTGGTGACATCTGAGTCTTAAGGTCGGTCAAAAATGGGGTGTCTACACCTAGTGTTGTTTAAATTTGCAATTTTCTACTATAAAAATGTATTTCTTTTGCATAATTTGTGAATAACAAATAGTATTACATTTAATTCACAGTTTTTTTAAGAACATTTAAAGCAATTATATTAATAAATAAATAAATAAAAAAAAACAAACACCATATTATGGAGAGTGATTTTGAAATATTCCTTTAGTCCAAACAAGTCCTTGAAGGATCCTTTAGTTGCTACCAGAAATAGAAGAAACACTCCAGTCGGTGATGTCAGAATCAGCACTCCGACGAGCAAGTTAGTTCCTTTCGAAAGAATAATATTGGTTTCTTAGAGTGTAAGTTTGTGTTTCTTTCTTAACATACCTCTCTCTTCTGGCTTTTTTTCTTTTTATAGAATCATTTCCTTTGATCTTTTTATCTGTAGCTTGGCCCTCCATCGTCATCGTGTCAAGACCCATCTCCATATTATACCTTTTACAAAAAGACAGCTTGGGACCACTTAATGGGGTCACGCCGACTTATATGATATACTCGGTTCAAACACATAGTCTAAGTACCCTTTACTCAGCCTGTTCCTCAACCCATCTCTATTTACTTGACAATGACTTGCGCTGAGTCTAGTGGGTTTTGGCTAAATCTGGCTCATCAAAGATGGGCTTGGATGTGCTCTGTTTGCCGTTTAGATGTTAAATTTACTCGTCCCCCACAATTGCCCCTTGAGCACCTAGTTAACTCACTCCAAGTGGCCTGTGTGCTCGGCTTTTGTTGGATTGCCTTCATTCGGCTAATTGCAACAAACTTGGATTACACTCCAGATGTCTTGAACTTTGGGCTCGTAATGGACATGCTACCATACCTCTAACATGATGGATGGGACCTGATAGAGAATACGTAAGGCTTCCCGTTTCTTTACTCTCCTCTGAATCCTCATTAATTGCGATTTCAAAAAATTGTCGCCTCCATCTCTTCACTTCCGAAAAAACTTCAATCTCTCAACCCTTCAGTTCCTCCCACTTGATTGCAACTGCTTCAATCTTCATTTGCTCGAGCATCCTTCGTTGGAACTTGTAAGTCTTTTGAGCCCTTTTTTTCTTTTGATTCTTTGTATTTTCACAATTTTTCAACCTTGCTCCACCTCTGGTTCATCCATTTGCCTTCGATTCGTCTATCCTTCAACAAATTCATTACATATTACTTGAAAGCTTTGCTTTCTGAGAGCAAGGTTGCTGCTTTTCTCTGTCATTACGCAATTCCCGATGACGTTCAACTAGAACTCGTCGTGGACACAATGGTGGACCTAGAAATATCTAACAGTAGCACCATAGTGCTTCAATTATTAGCGATTGTCGAAGGAGACGTACAATTTCTCCTTCAACCATTTCTTTGAGTTGGTCTGCATTATTGGGGACTGATTCCTTCACAACTAAACGTGAATTTCTTCCAAATAATTATGGGTACTGTAGAACTCAACCGCCGACTAAACACCAATCTAGACATCCCTGTTATTTAGCACTGCTATACCCTTGCCAAATCATCCGATCGGCCAGGGCGATTCTTCCTAAGGGCAAAAGATATAGATCATCAACTGGTGACCATACTCATTAGTTCAAAAAAGAGGATGGATGATGTTATGGTCCTTGTTAGGGGTAATTGGGAATTCGACATGGGAGAGTACCTTGTGGACCCAATTAATAGGCAAAAGGGGAAATTAGGTGGCTGAGTGGTTTGTAAATTAATTTTGATTCCATTCGGTCTCCAATGTACTAATAATTTCTTCCTTGTAGGTAACGACCTCAAAAAAACGATTACCTTAAAGGACGAAGCTATTATCACCCAAGTTAAAATCGTCCTTGAGTATACTAGCCAAAATAACCTCCAAGGACAAGGCCGCGCCACCCATATTCTAGGAGGAAAAATTCAAAACCTCTATGATGCGAATTATCCAAATGTATAATTTTATATTTAGAGAAATTCACTTTTATCCTTAAAAAATTAAACCTAAATATGTAAGTGACTATTCTTTTGTATAATTTTCACTTTAATGGGACCTTTAGATTTATAAGAAAAAAAAGAGAAAACTAAACAGTTCATAAAATCACATTTTGAGATTTATTGATACTTCACCCTAAAATTATATAAACAAAATCTTTTTTTTACTAAATTAATTTTTAATTTAAAAAAAATTTAAAACAAGTTTCTCAAACCAAGTTAAACATTATTTTTGAATTTACAAAACGACTTTTTGCTTAAAATTTCATATGCATAAAGATGTGACCTATTCTCATCCATTTTTAAAAGGGTCTGGCTTTGAACCAGTCCACCATTGGACTGGACCGTGCTGTTGGGCCCGTAAGAGTCCATCACGGGTCCCGTTTTGAAAATTTGAACTGTTGTGTAGAACTCTTTGAGTACTATATGCCTGTAAAATATCATGTTGATCGGATATCAATAGTTATGTGATCAAATCAGTTTTGTATAAAAAAAATGGACGGTGAATAAATTAACGATTGACAAAAAATTGATTTGATCACATAGCTATCAATATCCGATCAACGTGATTTTTTACAGACATATAGTACTCGAAGAGTTCTACATATTCAACGATTCATATTTTCAAAATGGGACCCGTGATAACCTCCACAAATCCAACAGTATAATTCAGTCCGATGATAGACTGGAACAAAGGCAGACCTTTTTAAAAATAGAAAATTTTATACGCAGAAACTTCCTAGTGCTAAGAAAGATGCGACATATTCTCATCCATTTTTTAAAGTAAAAGGCCTGTAATTGCAGGTTATAATTACAAAAATGCCGCTGCCGGTGATTGAAAATTTGATTAAAAGTTAAATTTTTTTTTTAAATTTTTTTTGTAAAAGATATAAAAGATAATATAATAAAAAATAGTTAAAAATTAAAAAACTAACTTTTAAAATTGCCCTATAATCCGTGTGTTTTTTTCTATATAAAAATTACTCGATTATCATCTTGCATCTACAAAATGCTAAAATTCATTCAAAAAGTACTCACTGATGTACAAACCAGACTCTGCATGAAGTACTGCTTTTAAACGCCAACTAGTAACCAAACAATATCAGCAAATACTATGGAGAACAAATAAAAATTAAGGAAAAATTATTTATAAATTCTATTTGGGAGACTTATACTATATATAATTTTATTAAAAAACTTATGTTCTCTTAAGTCCTGTAAAAAATTTGTTGACACATTTACCCTCAATATTAGTTGTTAATATCATAAATAATAATAAAACCATATACAAGAAATTGAATGTTACCATATATCATATCTATATAAACGTAACGTAACGTGACACCTACATAAACGTAACGTTACACCTACGATCTATGGCAACATTCAATTTCCTAACCATAGATCATAGGTTACGTACAGGTGTCATGTTACGTTTAGAAAATTGAATGTTACCATAGATCATATCCACATAAACGTAACGTGACACCTATGATCTATGACAACATTCAAACGTAACGTGACACCAACATAAACCAGCAACATTTTCACATTCAATTTAAAAAAATAAAAACTCATTAAGTTTGCGAAACATAACGTGACACGTTACGTTACGTTTTTGTAGGTGTCACTTTACATTACGTTTATATAGATATCATGTTACGTTACGTTTATGTAAGATCTTGTAGAATACGTTCTTATCTAAATAAGACTAAGGCCTAGTTTGGGAAGATTGAAAAAAGACAAAAAGTCAAAAAATCACTATCCTATTTAAGTCACATCATCTTATTTAAGTCACATCACCTCTCTAACACATCACTTCAAACCCAACCCATATTTCATAAAAAGTCAAAAAGTGCACTTATTTAGTCTTCCCAAATTAGGCCTAAGACTTGAGACACTATAAGAAATTACACAGAACATAACATAACATAAGCATCTGAAAAATGACTTATAAATAAGTCCCTCATAAACTAATTAACCTTTGTCAAAAGAAATTACACTCTCAACTGAAGTAAAAAACCAAACATAACGGCATCAAATATAATAGAAGCATAATTGATAGAAGTTCGATATCAGACGTAAACAGAGAGATGTAGGCTTACACTATAGTTAAACAAATTTTTTTTTTTCTGGTTGAATGGCATCACGTACTAAATTTAAACATTTTTTTTTTCTCGTTGAATCACATCACGTACTAAATCTTTGAACTCTCCTAAGCCGCATTTCTTCCAAAGTAAGGTCACGAGACTGATTCAATGACCCAAGGGATGCCAATCCACCGCCGTTACGACCTGTGCCACACATCTCGCACACATTTAACAAGCCAGAATTATCAAACGTACATGCTTCACATCTCCACAAGCCATTTGCAGTCCTCTGACTTCGACCAACACGTCCCCTACCCAAAATTTGTCGCCTTCGGAACGGAGACAAGCCCAGCAAGAAACTCAAAGGCCGACTCAAAACCCTAGTAACATCTCTAATGATACCTGTCAGTGGATCTGAACCTGAATATAAAGATTTCAGCCTGAGATAGAGAATACCAGCTAGTATCCCACCAAGGTGGCCGAGAAAAGATACACCGGGTACAAACATTTGGATGAGAATGAGCTCGGCCCAGGCGGCGTGACGTGCTGGTACTACCAATCCGTGGACGTTAGTGTAGTTGTCAGACTGGGAATAGAGGACAACTTTCATGGCAAAGAGGACACCGGAAAATCCAACAGAGTATTCCTGGTAGTAAGGTTTTCCGTAATCAAAGAACAAGAAAAGCGATTTGGCAAGTAATAATGTGATGCCCTGGGACATAGCAAGAAGCTCAACCACCATAGATGCGAATTCAGCACTCCCCATTGAATTCTCTAACTGGATCCCTTTCCATAAAAGCGACATCATGTTGTATACCAAGTGAGATTCACCCATGTGGTAGAATGGCGACAAGAAGAAGCGCTTGAGGTCCCTGTGCTGTTCAACCAAAGGCAAGAAGATGTTACTAGATAAGGAAACAGATACAAAATTATGTAAAAACATACCTTGAAAAGTTTTAATCACATATAATTCATGCAATGAGACAAATGCAATCATTTCATTAATGCACTTGCAAGGAGATGACTGATGTGAAATACCTCCAATGGAAGAAAAGGTCCAAATTAAAACCTTAAGGCTCCGTTTGATTAGAAAGAAAAAAATGGTGGAAAGTGAAAGTCGTAGAAAGCAAGTCAAAATAAAAGAAATGAAAAGGAAAGGAAAATGTTTTTTCTTGCAAGCATTTAATAGGATGCAAAATTTTACAAGACAAAGGGAGAGAAATTTGAATATTTAACCATAAGTAACCCCTCGCAGAGACAATTAATTTTCTTGTGTTTTCCTCTGTTTTTTGCAAGAAATTAAAAACTTAGTTACCATGTTAATATGGATTGTACAAAAAAATCAACTTGCTTGTAGTTTCCACCAATATCATATAAAACAAACTCAGAATATTTATTTATTTTTGTTTCTTTCCACCACTTTCATCCTAATCACACTCGGCCTACCGAAAAAAAAAAAAAAAAGAGACTAAATTGCTTCTTGTAACAAAAGCAAAAATCCCTAAACAGAAATTGCACTTGCACAGAATGTGAAACGAAACTGCTGGGGTCTCGAACATGAACAGTTATGTATAAATTAGTTTAAACTGGGGTATATAATATAATCATATAACAGTAATCGCTAACACTGTCAAAAACCTTATAGCATAGAAGCATTTGTGAACAGGTACGATTACACTAGATAACCAAGCTACTGCATGCAGAGGAAAGGAAAATTTTTCTAGGTGCTTGCAAAATGTCCACCCATGATCTCACGTAATCTTCAGACAACTTGTTTTCAAAATATAATACCCCAGTAACCTTATAATTATTTATTAAAAAAAATTGACTAGTGTCAGTAAAGCTACAACGAACAAGTGTATTACGAAATCTAATTGACTGAAAGTTTACTTCAACTCTTTTACTAATGACTTGTCAAAGACCTTACATATAGCATAGACAACAGAATTATGTAAGCGGTTACTCATGGATTACAACCACCACATGGATTACAACCACTTGTTGCCTTCAGGCCTTTGTCATACAAAATATAGTAAAAAGATAGAATAAAATAATAGTATTTCTATAGTTCTATTTAAGTCAACTCCTCTCCGGCCAAATGAGTCTCAATCAAGAATCTTTTAACTCAGGACTCTAAGCCATCATGCCAGGACAATGAGGGTGAGCATGAATGCCTAATAGATATCGAAAGGCCTTGGCTAATATTAGACATACCGAGATCATTCATCAAAGTACTTTTACATACACTGACCAAATCATGGTTCTGTATCCACGTTTAACGTGCTGAGTTATTGGTATTCAGACAGTGATATGAAGATACCATCCATTGAGGATGATGGCATTACAGGAATTTCAACAATGGAGTCTCCGAACATTAAGAAATGGTCCTTCACCATTCAAAGAAATTAAACACACAAGAAATAATAAAAGAAAAATATTTAAGTCAGTAAACAGGTCGATATTAAATTCGCTCGATCAATCTAACTGAAGACAGCAAAAGGTTGTTATATATATCATTATTTCATGATGACATGGTTAGATTTTATGTCATTTGCCTATAGATGGCAGTTATCAGCCCAATTTGAAGCATTGAGCTCTCAATTTTTTTCTCCATTTTATAAGTTGATACAATGCGTAGCCTTTTCATCAATCAATACACACATCAAATCTACAATAAAACAAAATGCTAATATTAAAATATGATCATACTGTCCACATGTTTTTTTTTAGCATCAACAAACAATTTTATTAAAAAAGCAAGAAGGAAAAAGGACAAGAAGTCCTCATACAAAGAAAAAGATAAAAGTAAAAAAAAATAGCATGAAACAAATACTGTCTACATGTTGAACACATGAATCCAAAATGGGCTGGCAGGCAAAAGCATGAATTAAATTATTAAATATCCAATGTTATCAACTTATTACCGAATTACAACAACACTAAACATCAACCAACTGAAGCAGACCCTCCCAAACACACATGGTTGTCTTGGACTCTTAGTACAATCCTTTTGTAGGGTGTAGCCTGTCAATACATGCAGGAGTATTCTCAAGGAATTAGTATCTCCCCAATTCCATGAGTAGTCTCTAGTACTAAAGAGGCTAGGGACACTCTCGCATACCTTGTCAATAAGCTGTTTAAACTAGGTGAAAAGTTAGTGCAGTAATGTTACTTCACAATCTAAACAACTGTAAAGGAAATATAAGGTTTGTACCCAAAAATTGCATTGCTCCAGTAGACCACAACTTTAATCTGGAAAACAGGAGGCCGTTGCTTTTAATGTAGCACTACATGGCCATTTTACCTGAAAACACAAAAACAATCTTGGGAGGATGAAAATTAGACTGACATCATCGCCAAATGATGGCTAAACCTTTCCTCATGTAATGATCATAGCTATGGCAATCCTCAAGTCCCACAAGAACAGTTTGGTTTCCTTAGTACTAGACTCATTGTAACAAACTTACGAAAAAAGCCTCATACAAACATAGAAACTTTATTGAGACATCATCACAAGTTTGAGCTATGCCTCCGCTTCTTCTAAGAGACTGGACCTAACTATTAGCTATCACAAAAACTTAGAAGAGCAATATGTCTGTTGTCTCTAAACCTTTGGGACACAAAATGCTATGAAACATGGGTACTTCGAAAAACATGTACTCGTACCAGGTACTTATCAGCGTATGGTACCTCGTACACGAAACACGTATCCAAATTTTATCTTATGAATTTTTGGCGCATTCAAAGGTACCTAATATATATCCAAGCTGTACCATACCTCAATTGAAATAATATTTTCTTCTAATAGATAAAACTCCTTTTACTAGATTTCTTTCTTATTTTTAATTTTATACTTAGCATGATTTTAAAATTAGATTATGATTTGTAAGTTATTTAATATATTGACATTTAATTTTGATTTATACCTTTACTTTTGGCAATAAATGTTAATTATAAGTTGGATCTTAACAACTCAAACCATTTAATTAATTTTTGCATTACTCTAAATTAAAAATAAATATTTTTTTACAAGTGTACCAAACCATACCAGTACTAGGTACGTCTGGGTACATTACCCATGTGCCAACTAGCACTTGCACAATATTATCTTTTCCTAAATTAAAGCTTCAAGGCAATCAATCCCATTTTGGGTAACTATGCATGCCAAGCGAAAGATGCTCCATTGTTTTTAAGGCACTGAAAAAGGCAAAACAAACAAATTCAAATGAATTCTCTGATTTCTTTCCCAAAGCTTTCAACTAACCAAACTATTAGGCGTGAATTCCTCAAAAAGATGTTAAGGAGATAACATAACACAGGCCATCAAACCGTTGAAATGAGCCCAAGTAATTTGTCTTAACCAAAAAAAAAAATTAAAAAAAGAAATAGGATAAATTTCACTTTATCTCCTAAACTATTGTTATTTTTCCAATATCATCCTCAACTTAAACTATTAATTTCATCTATTTAATCTTAAAGTTTCTGATTTCAGCAAATATGATTCAATTTGGGACAATGCATCCCAATCAGTAACCATTAAACTTAATTTGATGAGCAAAACCATCATTTTAAATTTTGAACAATTTCAGCCACACAATCAAGCACTCAATTTTTTATTCACTGTTTTGAAATGAGAAGAATATGAGTGTTTGGTTGTGGAGTGTTAGTTGTCTAATACTAAGACTCCATTTGTTTTGACGTAAGATGTTTTTGTTTCCAGTGTCAACCAAATGTCAAAACACAAAAACAAAAACAAAAACAAAAACATTTTTTTTTGTGTAAAATCAATATACAACAAAAATATTTTTTTTGTGTAAAACGTTGAAACAAATGGAACCTAAGTGAGTAACAAGATAACTTGTATGATTTAAGTAATAAATTTAATATTTTGCCCATTAATTGGACCATATCAACTGAAATTATGAAATTCATGAACAAAACAGATAGAATTGATAATTTAGGAATAAAGTAGAAAAAAAGGGGGCAAATTACAGCAATAGTCCCATTATTTTGTAGTCCCATTATTTTGACCCTCGTGTCATTTTGATCTATATTATTTCAACTGGCTCAATTTTGGCCGTTAATTTTTTCCTTCGTCTCGAATTGGTCTGATTGATTCCAATAGTTAGCATTTTTTTTTTTTAATGGCAAATGAGCTATATGTGTCATATTTTAGGGCTAAAACTAAACCACCTCAACCAACTCAGTAAACATTTTTCGTCAAAAACACAAAACCCTAACGAGATTATAAATTGGACAAAATTGACGCAAAATTTAAAATTAAAAAGTGACCAAAAAAACAGGAGAAAGCAGAAAACATCAATGCTCAAACAGCATATTTCTTAGTTTTCATAATCCAGAGTGAGATAGGGGTTAGGTTAGGTTACCTTGAGGATGAGGTGGGGATTGAACCAGACTTCATCGATGGAAGGAAGAGTACGATCGAGAAAAGCAGGCCTCAAGTAGACGAAAGTGTTGGCAGCGACGAGTGCGGCCGTGAGGGGGGGTTTACGATCGAGCCTGCAATACTCGCTCACTGCGTGCACTGCTAACAATGGAAGCATCCCTCTCGATATCCCTCTGCTACTACTACTACTATCCCTTCCTCTCTCCATTTCTTCTTCTTATTCTTGTTTGGTTCGAATCAAGAAGGAATGGAATGAGAGCTCTTTCTGGCGTCTCTTCCGGCAGATTCTCGCCGTGATCTGGTGACCGTTACACGCAGAACGTTGGTGATGCGTGTTCTAGGACTCTACTGCTTGGGATTTGGGGCTTTTTTTGTGATGAGTTTTGGGGGGTTGTTTGGTTGTTAAGAAAAGAAAAGCATAGAGCATTCCACACACTTCTTCCGCTACCCTTGTCCCGCCTTTAAACAGCTTGGTGATCAAAGAAAAGAAATGATGGTTAGGTAAGAAAAAAAAATTATAATTTTTAATTCTTATATGTGGATGAATAAAAAAAAAAATAAATGTAATTTTTTATTTATCCTGGTTGCATGGAGAAAATAAAATAAAAGAAAAGAAAGTATTATTTTATTTTAGGGTGATTTTACTTACACCACTCTTTTATCTCTTTATACCTTCCATTTTATTACATCACTTAAAAAAAATTGAATTCTCATTACACCTATTATATTATCAAAACAAACCCTATGATAAAAAACTCTTCAAAACCCATCTCTTTACACCCATACTTTGTGTTAGGCCTGTTCGATAATACAATACTAAACCATTTGAATTACTCTAGTTCCATGTTACCAGATAAAATTTTGTTTCCTAGCATTATGTTACCATTCAATTGGATAATATCAGTACGCTTCCCAACAAAGCCAGTAGAGTCCACATTGAAGTGCCTGTTTGGTCACACAATGCGAAACAATTTACAAAAATTCAGTGCTATAACGCCGGAATAAATTGTTTGTTCCAACCTTTTGTTACTATACATTTACAGAGCCACTTCCTTCCAAATAATGTAGTAATAATTTGTGCTGGGCCTGTTTGATAATAAAATGCTAGTAAATTTTAATTACTCCAATGTTATGTTGCTGGAAAAAATAGATTTGTCTAGCGTTTTGTTGCTATGCATTTACAGAGCTACTTTGTTCCAAATGATAATTTGGGTCTGTACGGTAATTTGATACCAGACTTATATTTTTTGTTTGATAATTTACCAAAAATGTATCTTTTATTTGGCAATTTGATACCAGACTTATATTTTTTGTTTAGCATTGTGATGCCGGACTATGTTATTTTGTTTGATTTCGAAACACTGAACAAAAGTTGCAGACCAGTCCAGAAAATTGAAACAAAAACCTACCAAACTAATAAAAAAGCTCACAATTTCACTTTTTTGATAGTTTTTCACCACCGTTTCTTCATCCATTGTTTTTTTTTGATGATCAAAACACTATGATTATCACTTTTTCCAAATAGATGTGTAAAAGAAAAGTTGAGAAAGGAAAAACAGAAGTAGGGATTGAAGATCAACGGGTGTAAGGAGATGATCAAATATATTTAATTTTAGTATTTTGTCCTTTTAAGTAATTTCACACATGGATAAATTTGGAAGAAAAAAACAATCTCATATAGAAGGTGTAAGGAGGTAAAAGAGTGGTGTAAGTAGAATCACCCTTTATTTTATTAAAATAACTTAGTAAAAATCAAAATTTTGTCTCAAGGTTGGTAGGAAATCGATAAGAAATCGAATAGGTGTTCAAGCTTAAGACTTAGGGGATAAAGTTAATAAATTATTTTTTCAATTTTTTTGGTAATATAGGTATTTTAGAAAAGTTTTATTAAGGCCTTATTTGTCATAATCTAAAAAGTCAAAAAGTCACTATCATATTTAAATCACATCATCTTATTTAGGTCACATCATCTCTTTATCACATCACTTCAAACTCAACCTATACTCAACCCATATTTCATAAATCAAAAAGTACACTTCTATACTATATATTAAGCAAAAGGGGGTTTTTAACCCCAAGGCCTGTGGGAGCTCCAATATCCCAATTTGAATTTTTTAAATTTTTTATTTAAAAAAAAAAAACTTAGCATTTATTGATTTGGTCAAAATTTCCTGATCAGCATTTATTAATTTTTTTCAATTCACATGTCTTTCCACATGCCTGCATTTATTGATTTGGTCAAAATTCTTTGATCAGTATTTAAAATTCCCAATACAAATAATTATAGATACAATCCGTGTATAATTAATGCAGTATCCTTTTCAATTTCTCTCATACGCTATGGTTAGTAATAAGATTGTTAAATTATTTTTATAAAAAATCTTAAAAAACATAATTCATATATTAAAAAAAATCTAAAAAAAATCTAAATATCTATAATTATTCCGTGCATAGCACGGGTGATATGCTAGTATTTAGATAATCACAAATCACCCCTAAATCTATTTTTTTTCTCACAAATCTTATTACTTTTGACGAAAAACAAAACATAATTAGTGAATTCTTTTCCGTCACTTCTCAATATTTCTCACTCACTTATAGCATATTTATCAAAGTAGCTAGGTGTCGTTTGGGAAGTGTATTGGCTTTTTGGATTTTTAATTTTTTTTTTTGACTATTTTAGCTTGAGGCTAAAAGACTTGGTTTAGAAATGATTTTTTGACGTTTTGATTTTTTTGTGAGGTGGCCACATGTGAAATGACCCAAATGCCCTTCAGGTTAAAGTACCAACCTGTGTGGGAGGCTGACAACCACGTGACCCTTGTGTTTGCTTTAATTTTTTTTATTTTATTGTTTTCAATTTGTTTTTTTTTTTTCCTTTCAGAAAAGGCATTTTATTTTTGTTTTTTTTGAAAATTACGTGGAAAATGAAAAACAATGGCGTTTTTTTTGTTGTCTTTTTTTTTATTATTATTTTTTTTTGTTTGTTTTGGAAAAGGCTTTGTTTCAATTTTTTTAAATTTTTTTTTTTTGTAAATGACGTGTAAAATGCTAATTTTGGATTTATTTTATTGTCTTTTGTTTGTTTGTTTGTTTTTTTTTTTTTGTTTTTTGTTTGTTTTGTTTTGTAAATGATGTGTAAAATGCTAATTTCGGATTTATTTTATTGTCTTTTGTTTTTCTTTTATTTTTTGAATTTTTTTTTCCCCAAATGGCTTTTTCATGTTTTTTATTTTACGCAAAAAAAATGTTAATTTCGATTTTATTAATGTCTTTTTTTTTGGGTTATTTTTTATTAGTTTTTTTTTTGTTGGAAAAGGCTTTTTTTGTTTTTTTTTTCTTCTCAAATGACGTGGACAATGATAATTTCGGCATTTTTATATATTTTTTTTATTTTTTCCTGTTTTTCGAAAAGGGTTTTTTGGAGTTATTTTTTTTAAATAACGTGGAAAACACTAATTTTGATTTTATTTACCGTTTATAGACATATATATTGTATATGATAATATACTTATGTACAACCTTTTCTGCGTGGCAAACTATTATATATTTCCTAACAATTCATTATTACGCATGCACACTAACTTGTCCCTCATGCGAAGGCGTACCAATGCCATATGCGGGTCCTCATCTCCAACCATTAAACCATCCTCGTCATGTTCAACTTCTAGTATGGCATTTACAAAAGCCATAGCCTCTTTCTCGTTGAAACGGGGATTAACAGTTGTTGGATTGCTGTATTTCGACATATATAATTATGTAACGCCATTGATGCACCTACTAATTGAACTTGCACATTTGCAAAATCATACCGAGACATGTTTCTAAGAAACCCCCATCGATTTTTCTAGACGCCGAAAATGCGTTCCACCACATTACGTAACGACGAGTGAACTTTGTTAAAGAATTCCCTAGAAGTGTTTGTTGTCCTACCCTCTTCACTAATGCAGAATTGTTGTTGGTAGTAACGGCTGCCTTTGAAAGGTGCTAGGTAACCTACCTGGTTCTGGTAGCCAGCATCGACAAGATAATATTTGCCTGCAGACAGTACCAGATTTTCAAACAAACCACCAAATTGTGTTTAATTTTTAATTAACGATGTTGTCTCATATATTATGTAACCAAATATTTTCAATGCAATGTGTTACCTTCTTCCAGATGTGGAAATGGGACATTCTCATTTGTTAATATCTCATTGAAGATGCGACTATCGTGCATACTTTCTTCCCATTCAAGCGAAACGAAGATGAAACACATGTCAAAATCGTACGCGGCCATGATATTTTGCGTGTGACAGTATTTCCTACCGAAATATGTTATGGCATTTGGCCCCGTAACCCATGCACTAACATGTGTTCCGTCTATGGCTTAAGTGACTCCTAGGGGTACATGTAATCATTAGTTTTCATATGTCACGTCCAATAAAATGTGCTTAAAAACTAATGATTTTATTGGAACGTTTTTCACTAGCCTATCACCCGTGCTATGCACGGGATAATTATAGATATTTTATATTTATTTTAGATTTTTTTAATATATAAATTATGTTTTTTAAGATTTTTTATAAAAATAATTTAACAATCTTATCACTAACCATAGTGTATGAGAGAAGTTGAAAATGGTACTGCAGTAACTATTTATGGATTGTATCTATAATTATTTGTATGATGGGATTTTAAATGTTGATTAAGAGATTTTGACCAAATCAATAAATGCAGACATGTGGAAAGACATGTGGATTGAAAAAATTTAATAAATACTGATCAGGAAATTTTGACCAAATCAATAAATGCTAAGATTTTTTTTTAAATAAAAATAAAAAATTTAGAAAATTCAGATTGGGATATTAAAGCTCTTACAGGCCTTGGGGGTTAAAAATCTCATTTTGCTTAATATATAGTATAGATAATATATAATATATAGAGGAGATCTTATAAAAAAAACGTATAGACATGAATGCCCTCCTATTTTATTGTGTTTACAATTATCTATATATGTGAGTTGTGATTTTTAAATATTTTTTTTTAAATGTCTTCTTTTTTTTCCTTTTTTTATATTATATTAAAGTTTAATATTTTGATAATAATCATATGTGTTGGACTTTTCAAGAAGTTTTTTTTATGTTTGTTCTTAATGCATTAAATTAAAGTGTTATTATGAAGGATAATAATCAAATGTGTTGAGACTTTTCAAGGAATTCATATGTGTTGGATTTCAAAGAATTTTTTTATGTTTGTTCTTAATGCATTAAAGTGTTATTATGAGGGTAAGATTTGGGAGTTGGAAGATGTTAATAAATGCTAAGATTTTTTTTTTAAATCAAAAAATCAAAAAATTTAGATTAGGAGATTGAAGCTCCTACAAGGCTTGGGGGTTAAAAACCCCCTTTTACTTAATATATAGTATAGACTAACCTATTATCCGTGCTATGCACGGGATAATTATAGATATTTATATTTGTTTTAATTTTTTTTAATATATAAATTATGTTTTTTAAGATTTTTTTATAAAAATAATTTAATAATCTTATTACTAACCATAGTGTACAGAAGAAATTAAAAAGACTACTGCAGTAATTATGCACAAGCTGTATCTATAATTATTTGTATAAGGGGATTAAATGCTAATGAGGGATTTTGACCAAATTAATAAATGTAGGCATGTGGATTAGAAAAAGTTAATAAATGCTGATTAGGGGATTTTGACCAAATCAATAAACACTGAGGTTTTTTTTTAAAATAAAAAATTTAGAAAATTAAGATTGAGAGATTGAAGCTCCCATAAGACTTGGGGTTTAGAAACTCCATTTTCCTTAATATATTTACAATTATCTATATATGTGAATTGCTATTTTTAAATGTCTTTTTTTTTTAAATGTCTTATTTTTTTCTTTTTTTATATTATATTAAAGCTTAATATTTTGATAATAATCATATGTGTTGGACTTTTCAAGGAATTAAATGTATTCTTTTTTATTATTATATTAAAGTTTAATATTTTAATAATAATCATATGTGTTGGACTTTTCAAGAAATTTTTTTTGTGCTTGTTCTTAATGCATTAAAGTGTTATTATAAGGGATAATAATCATATGTGTTGGATTTTAAAAAAAAAATTTATGTTTATTCTTAATACATTAAAGTGTTATTATGAGAGTAAAATTTGGGGGATAGGAGAAGTTAATAAATGCTAAGGTTTTTTTTTTTTTTTAAATCAAAAAATCAAGAAATTTAGATTGGGAGATTGGAGCTCCCACAAGGCTTGGGGTTAAAACCCCCTTTTACTTAATATATAGTATAGATATAGGTAGATAGATAGATAGATAGACATAGATATAGATAGATAGATAGATATAGATATGGCACATACCATTTATATGACATAAGGACCAAAGTACCGGGACAACTGCGGCAATTTGCCTTCATCTAAATTAAAGGGATTTAAAAAGTAAAAAAGAAAAATGAAAAAAAAAATTATAATATTAAAAAATGTTCACTAAAAAAATATAGATTAAAAATTAAAAATTAATTATTGAAAACTCCATACTAAACAAGGTAATGTTTTCTATTAATTTTGAAAATTAAAAAATAATTATTAATTTTTCCTCTATTTTTTTTTCTCACAAAAAAAATAGCTACATTAATTATCTTTTTTT